GTGCATATTTGTGATGTAAAACCAAGCAGGGTTAGGGAGCCACCAACACCTGTTTGAGTAACTTCCACAAAAACTTATTACAATTTACAGCATCTTAAGTATAACCTCAGTTAACCAAGCAGGTCGGGAACTAAATTTTTAGTTCACTTGGCGAGCCTTTGAGTGTTTTCAAAACGAGTGGATTCGGCTTAGATTTTGGTTTCGCTGGTTTCGACCATTTTGAAGCAGCGCTCCAAACTACATGTTCAAGCTCTGACTAGAACCAGCGACACCACAGTTTCAGCCAAATCCACTTGTTTCGAAAATGCTATGTCACAACTTACTGAAGAACTCGCAAGTGCTTTTCAATAAAACAGAGATTCTGCCCTTTGGAATGGGAACTGCCAAACGAGACTGCCTGAAAGTAAGACAGTAACCAAATCTGCTGGCTGTGGCTGGGAGTGACAAAGAAGTGTATGGGATGTGGCTACAGCTGCTAATGAGTGGCTTCTATAACCGCACCATGCTAGTTTAGCCACAGCCTTAACTTTTGAACATGACTTCCAGCGTACCTTGAGGAGGCTCTTCCATTGGCTGTTCATCCTGTGTTGCTGGCTGTTCGTCCTTCTGTTCTTCCATCTGCTGGTCAACATTTTCATCCCCAGCTACAAGGAACAAAATTCACAATCAACCCACTGAAAAGGAGCGGGGGACCATTAAAGTGGAGGGGGGGGCTGACTGGATGTTGGCCATATGCATAATTGTCATCACATCAATTGCTGGGGCGACTGGGGGGGGTGACGATTTTTCATGTGGGGCATGTGTCCCCTCACTTAGCCATGCGAGCACCTTTTTGTGTATCACTGGTCAATTATTTCCCCTGGTAACCTGTGCACATCATATATCCTGGGTACCAGGCAAAATGGCTGATTTGGTGCCAAATGGTTCATGCTCTAACTTGCACTTGGTTAAATGTGACGCAAGACATTCTGGGAGGATACACATGTAAATTATAACATCTATTATTCGTTTACCAACTTTTTTTTTATTGATTTCCTAACAAGTTTGAACCAAGAGACAAAATCCTTTGAAAAGTAGTAAAACATCAAATTTCTTTTTGATGCTAGAAATAAATTTGAGAAAAATTCACCCTCTGAGGGGACAGGTGTCTCGGGCATCCCCGCATAGGAAATGGACAAGTCCAACCTGACCATTGGGGTGAAGACATATTTGTAGAGCTTGTAATGTCGGAAGTAGGTGTTGAGGACGTAGTCGGTGATCTGATGGACTTGATCTGGGCTGAAGAGGTTAATGCTCCATGGTGGGCGCTGTGAAAAGATTGAAAATCGTCTCTTGAATCCTTTGGGATGTCATTCAAATGAGTATCATCAACTCCCACATTTGCAGCCATCCATAAGAGAGCAATCTACAAGGGGGCCTGAGGGTTTTGCGCGGTAACCCTCGAGGTTTTCTGAAGTTCGGCTGCATGAATGGCTCTTGAATGTACATGTACATGCATAATCCTTGAGCTGCAGGTCAACTTCACACGCATGAATGGTCGCAGGATGAAGATTTCGGCGTGGGGAGCGACAGAGCTACAGCAGACAATGAGGGATGGTGGCTGCTGTTAGGGATTAAAGGAGTTTATCATCTTGGGAAGGCAGGTATCTAATTACATGTAGGATTACTAGGAGATTATCTTAAGTCTTAAATTATTCTTTTAATTGTCCGTGCGTTGGGGTCGTCTGCGTGGCGGTTAATCAAAAGTGTTCCTCTACCGAGGCTGCTCAATGTGCGCTGACCTGTGGATAATGAGTTCATTATAGTACGATGAGAGAAACCTCGAAAAACCCAGCAGCCCCGCAAGGTTTACCGTGCAAAACTTCTGGGGCCCCTTCTGGATCGCTCCCTAAAATAAGTGACCACATTATGGTTGAAAAGTACACAAAGCTCCCTGTGGAATAATTCTTTCCAGCTTACTGTCATTTTTAAGACAGCAATGAAAGAAGACCATCGTCAACGGTTTGTTTGAAGACACATGTTTGGAAACTGCTGGCGGTTGTTTTTTTTTATTCAGGCAAGTACAGACAAGCATGGACGCAGTGCACACATGAGGGCCGTTTCTATAACTCATTGGTTCAGTTCAGAAAGAAACAGCAACATTAGAAAGCTGCAATCGGTTGATGAGAGCGCGTCAAAGATGCTGAATTTGGACACAATTCCAAACATGACTCTGCAGCTATTCATTTCAAATCAAGATCCCAGAATGTTTTGTTCGTCAGACTGTTCCGCATTGACTGAACTCAGACATAAAGGTTAACTGTAAACTACCCTTTTGATTTTGAGCACATTTTGTCGCCTCAAATGGCCAAAATGCACAAATGGGTAATTCCAGAAATTAGGGGTCCATTTTTATGCATGTCTCTGTCACATCTGACGTACGATTTTGTAAATTCAGAACACATTTTCTAATTTCCAAAGAGTGATGAATTAATGCAAATT